CTCCAGATAATTCTGTAACGTAAGTTGCGCCTAGGGCCAGCGAAATTAGAACTGGGCCACGTGAATTCGGATGTAGCATATCGTTGACATGTCATTCGAAAGTTGTGGTGTGCTATTTTAGATCTTCGGAGACGTGACGATAAATACATCCTTACGACTTATTCCACTCCGGTTTACTGTCTGGTTTAGACGTGTATTCCACTCCGGTTTACTGTCTGGTTTAGACGTGTATTCCACTCCGGTTTACTGTCTGGTTTAGACGTGCATTCCACTCCGGTTTACTGTCTGGTTTAGACGTGTATTCTACTCCGGTTTACTGTCTGGTTTAGACGTGTATTCTACTCCGGTTTACTGTCTGGTTTAGACGTGTATTCTACTCCGGTTTACTGTCTGGTTTAGACGTGTATTCACTCCGGTTTACTGTCTGGTTTAGACGTGTATTCTACTCCGGTTTACTGTCTGGTTTAGACGTGCATTCTACTCTGATTTACTGTCTGGTTTAGACGTGTATTCTACTCCAGTTTACTGTCTGGTTTAGACGTGTTCGTACGTTATTTCATATTTGAGCTTCAGATCACCGAGAAGAGATGACTAATTTAGTTGGAAATGGGGGGTTGGACGTTGATATTTGATGTGTTTTCTATGTACGTGTGTGTGTGTTTCTATATAGTCCTCACTCGATAAGCCTATTTTTGTATGCTTTAAAGTTGATAAATACGAAATACGTTACAGTATGTGTGTGATTTAATAAATGATAGAGCAAAGTGATTGATATAAATAATCTAATGACAAACAAACGGACAGACAAACAGGGTTATTGTTGGTATAAAGACAGCAACAAGTAAATAGCAAATAATAATAATAAGACAACTCGGTTCAAGTAAATATAGAACTGGATACAATTCACACGCTCCTTATACACGTCGATCTAACTGCTGTAATTTGAAATTATACACAACCTATTCGAGATATTTATTTTCAGAGAAGGTTCTAGGGTCTCATTGTTGGGAGGGTGGGAGTATATATGTATTATAGGACCCCTGGATGTCACTACTAAAATAATAATAATATAAAAAAATTTTGAACTAGTGACCAGAGGGAATGCAGCCAGTCAGCAGTATCGCATGGATTCGAACCCGGCTCCCCAGCTCCGTAATCCAGAGCTCTATCACAGGGTCAAGCCCTGCTACTTCTCTGTCAAAATATCCATAAAAGAATGGGACGGAATTTTCTGGACGCCCTGCGATAAAATATATATATATATATATTTTTTTATTTCATAACTTTTGAAAAGTGTTAGTTCCTAGTGCAAAACCTGGCGCACGTGCTTATTGTGAGATGATCTTGCACGCGATGAATCACCAGAAGAGTTAACTATGGAGACTGTTCGAATACCAGTCAGGGATGATGTGTAATAAAGATTGAAATTTAACTGTGGGTTACAAGAAAGTTAGCGCAGATAGCCCTCGTGTAGCTTTACGCGAAATTCAAATCAAACAAGACAGTTTGTGATCAAGTAACGACTACATTTATTCTCACGTCGACACGTCATGGTTATCGTTTTAAGCGAAAACCCGCTGAAAATGACATGTATTACACCAAGAGGATGTTCTTATTCTCGTTATAGCAGACGAGTTTCGTCTAATCACTGGAAATGATGTAGTTGGTATAAACTATAAACACTGAAATGTCATATCAAACAGTAATACCAAGGTTTGTTTGTTTGTTTGTTTTGAATTTCGTGCAAAGCTACACGAGGGCTATCTGCGCTAGCCGTTCCTAATTTAGCAGTGTAAGACTAGAGGGAAGGCAGCTAGTCATCACCACCCACCGCCAACTATTGGGCTACTCTTTTACCAACGAATAGTGGGATTGACCGTCACATTATAACGCCCCCACGGCTGAAAGGGCGAGCATGTTTGGTGGGACGGGGATTCGAACCCCGATATTGTTGGTGTTTACGAAGTAAAAATGTTTCTAAGTTGTTGGTGTTTACGAAGTAAAAATGTTTCGATATTGTTGGTGTTTACGAAGTAAAAATGTTTCGATATTGTTGGTGTTTACGAAGTAAAAATGTTTCTAAGTTGTTGGTGTTTACGAAGTAAAAATGTTTCGATATTGTTGGTGTTTACGAAGTAAAAATGTTTCGATATTGTTGGTGTTTACGAAGTAAAAGTGTTTCTAAGTTGTTGGTGTTTACGAAGTAAAAATGTTTCGATATTGTTGGTGTTTACGAAGTAAAAATGTTTCTATATTGTTGGTGTTTACGAAGTAAAAA